ATATTGGCTTTTCATCCTTTGGCAAGTTGACTAACTCCCACACTTCATTTTTATTAAGAGAAGCTATTTCCTCATCCATGGCTTTCCTCCATAGGACTTGCTCTTCTTTTGGCAATGATGTTATATCCTCATATGTTACTGTATCAAGAGTTGCCACATTAGCTTCATACACAAAGTAATCATTCAACTTTACAGGTAATTTTATATTTCTTCTTTGCCTAGTAATTTCTTCATGACTTTCTTCAAGATTTCTGGATTCTACATCACTTGAATCATATACTACTTCATCTTTAGCAGGATCTTTACTTTCTATGGAAAAATCATCTTGAACTGAGATACATTTCTTTTTCTCTTCATTGAACAATACATTTCGAGAAACCACAACATGATTTGTGACTAGTTCCAGTAAACGATAACCCATGGTATCCAATAAAAATCATCTTTTTTGATTTTGGATCCAATTTCTTTCTTAAGTTATCAGGAACTCTCATGTATACATCAGATCCAAACACCTTAATAATATTCAAATCAGGCGGCTTCCCATATTTGAGCTTATAAGGTACATTTTCAACAGTCTGATTTGGAATTCTCATAACCCCAGAAGGATTTAGAAAGCTTTGCTTCACATATTAGAGCTCGGGCCTTCTCTAAAAGATATTGTTGGCTCTCTCAGCCACACCATTTAAAGGAGGTGAACATGGAGGAGCAGGATCTATCATAACACCATTTTTCTTGCAATAACGAGCTAGTTCACCAAACACATATTCCTTGGCATTATCACACCAGATTTTGTAGACATCAGGATTCTGCTTTAGGAACAATTTAAACACTTCACCAGTACGCACTCTTCACGAAAGCTTGAAGGTGACTCAGATACTGGCAAACCCATTTCTTTTAATATTTTATCAGATGAGTGCCCCATGCGCCTGTGCCACAATTCTGCACTATGATTTGCAATGTATGTTGAAGCTTTAACAGGTTCAAATTGACTCACATACTGTCCTTTCTCATTGAGTTTAGCAAACTCAAATTTTTCATTCCTCTTTTCAATAACAGCTACATCATTCTTAAAAAATTACACTGTAACCTGCTTTTTGAATATTCTTCACAGATATTAATTGACTGTTCAACTCAGGCACCATAACACATCTTTAAGTAATATTTTCTCTTCCATTTAATGTTCCAGGTACTGTACCAATACCTTCTACCTTTAAAACATCATTTTTTCGAAGCACATGCAACAGTTCCAGAAAAAGGTTTAATTTTTTCAAACCACTCACCTTTATTACACATGTGTGTAGATGCTCCAGAATCCAGAATGAAATTTCCAACAGGCTCACCAACCATGAATGTTACTGCAGCCGATTCTCTATAATCTGATTTATGCTTAAATCTGAAATCCTTCCTGTAATGCCCTGGGCGTCCATATCCAAAACAAACTAATTTTTTCTTGCAAAGCTTGGCAATATGACCTTTACTTTTACATTTGTGGCAGATGATATCACGCTTATCAGCGCTAAAAGCTACGTTATTACTTGAGCCAGAAACACGAGAATCGTAAGAATTTCTCTCACCTTGCAATTCTTCAGCATTCAAGAGCCTTTGCATAACAAAGTCCAGCGTAAGCATTTCATTTGGCTGGTTCTCAATTGTCGATTTAATAATGTCGTACTCAGAAGGTAGCGACATCAACAAATAAATAATCACATCCATATCTTTGACTTCAGCACCCGAGAGCCGCAGTTCATTTACGATCGCCAACAGTTCGTTTAATATGTGACTGCATACTGCAATCTCGGCGTTTCTTCAGTGTCGATAATTTCTTTCGTACTAATATTTGACTAACTGCACTCACCTTATGGTATTTATTCTTTAAACTGCTCCAAATTTCACATGCAGAAGATTCACTCGACATGGTCGCCAATATGGCATCATCTAGAAGGGTTAGCAGCAATGCGTAAGCCTTTTTGCATCTTTGATTTCAGCAACTTTCGTTTCATCCGCTTCAACGTCTAAATATTTATCAAGTTCTTTGGCCGCAAACACAGCTTCAACACGGCGCTTAAACAGAGAAAAGTTTTTACCGTTAAACGGCTCAACACAATACTTTGTGTTCTCATCACGTGCTGCCATTTCAAATTTCACTTAACGCACGATTCCGTTCCAAACAAATGAGTTCCACAAAGCAAATATAAATGCTTCGCCTCTAGCGTGTTCAATATCAGAACCATGCTCTGCTGTAAAGATTTTAAAAAGGTGAATCAGAGGCCGATGATAATTAAGTAGAGGCTTTATTAAATGATGAAATTTCACGCACATGGCATAGAACGTTTCTACATATCACACCATGACCAAGAACACTACAACTGTTGCCAGATCAACCTAAGCAAAAGTATAAAACAGTTACGGTTAAAATACATGACATTAAATCAGAAACTGGGAGTACGTGTGATTATTCTCAACAGTTTTTTAGCAGTCTTCAGTTGATCTTCCTGCAGTCGCCAAGTACGTATCTTTTTTTCAGTAGGTGGTGGACCGAAATGCCTTACTGCTGCTCTGTTTCCATGCACTTATTGTATTGTATAGCTTAATCTCTTGTTTCCTGTAGTCATATTTTCCAGGGTATTTTTTTAAAACAAGCAGTTTTAAGCACCGATACCGACACGTTTATACAAGTAGCACCGATACTGACACGTGTGTCGGCGAGTCAAAGAAAGTCTATGTAGAGAAGGAAAGGCTCCATAGACGTAATGTGACTGTCAAACCTGTTCGAACTTCGACATCAGCTTTGAGCTTTAGCCCTTTTTGGCGACAGATATTTCACGCATGCACAAAAAAATTATGGCAGATGGGCAAAAAGTTATATGTGTCTAGACCTTAATCCGGGCTAAAAGTAGCATTCAGTATTGAAAGTTAACCTGTGTTCTTCATGTATAAGACACAGATAACTTTTTTGAGACCAAATTTAGGAAAAAAAGTGTGTCTTATATGCCGTCAAATACGGTACTGCTTTTTATCATTTGCTATGAAATCACAGGCATGGCAAAAATTACTTCAGAAAATGCCATGTTCATGGCTGCTGCATCGTGGACTTTAACATTTTTGCCGATGTCTTAGTCAATGTATCAGATCTACTAAATCCATTGCTCTGATGTCATGTGCACATGTCCTTCTAGATGGAATGCTTTTAGCCATTTACCTGGTGCTAGAGAATTTTTTCTTGTCAATAAACATACCAACACTAACAATCTTTATATTTCAAAGTAGAGGAGTATGTAAAGCACATTTCTAAGGTTGTTTCAAGCTCATGGTGTTAGCAGTGCAGAAAATTAGGGATTGACACACATGCTTGCAATAGACTTCATTGAATTTAGAAATTTTAATGATGACAGGAAAGTTCTTAACCAATTCCAGAGATTTAGAAGGGGAAGCAGTTAATTTGAGTATGGTGATGGTATGTGTTGGCTAATGATTGGCAGGTTTTCTGACCAGTAGAAGAGGAAAAATAGTTAACACAATATATGAGTTTAGATTGAATATGAGAGACGATGATTACATTCTTGTAAGTCAAGGATTTCACACTGAAAAGCCATGTTTTCTATATTTTCTTTTGATGTTCTAAATATTTCTCCTGGTATGGAAAATGTTATTTTTGTGAAAGAAGTGACTGAACATGCAGCTGCTTTTTTTATGGTTTTGGAGATATAAAGGAAGAAAGCTGGGTATTTCTGATTATCTGCACACTTGTGAAAAGACCAGTTTATTGGTAACTTTGTGAATTGGCAAAAAAAAAAACTTGTTTGGCTATATTTTCAGTTAATAGATCCTCATGCTATTCATAAATAGTAATAAAAGAAGCATTTAGATGAAGCAAGATATTTTACCCCCCCCCTCAAAAGTATGAAGTCAAAAAGTTCATTTTCATAGCTGGTTGATACTCTTTAGTGAAATGACTGTTAAGTGTGTAAATTCAGATGTAATACTAAAATATGTGTGGTGTGAGCATGCATGGGTTATTTTTTTATTGTGTGTATACTCATAAATATACTGAAAATCGGAATGCTCTATTGAAAGTCAAAAATGGGGGTGTGGATGAAACGTATTGAAAACTGTGTTTGACTGGTGGTTGAAAAAGTATTTGATTGCATTCGGTGTCTAAAAATGAAGCAAAAGTGAAGAAATAACCTTTTCTGCCTCTTTGAAAACCGTGTACCCTGTCACTTTCAGAGAACCAAATGTTCTTCAAAGCTGTAAACAAATTTATTGTGGAGAGTGGCTAGTTTTACTCCTTTCTAAATTTTCAGAAAATCATGTCTTGTATTCTGCTGAAGTTTTTTTTTTTTTTTTTTTTTATATATATCTGTTCTTTACAAACAAATAAGATTTAATGGATTAGTGATTGAAAATCATGAAGTTTGAAATGTACCTGTCCTTTAAATCAGTTTACAGTCACCTCACAAAATGGGCAATAAACTTTTCTTCATTTTCTGCCTTTTCTGTTAGGAGTATGAAGGAAAAAAACAAGCATGCCCTTCATGTGGATTGATGCCTTAAAATGTAATGATATTTTTTGTTTGCAGTAATGATGATAATAATTCATGTGATTTGCTAATAATTTGACCAAATATGAAAATATTTTCATTCATTTTTAATTTGCACCATTTTTGTATTCGTTCATAATTATATAAGATAAAATTGTAATTTATTTTTAAGCCTTTAAAACTTTATATGTGCTATGCAAATAAATTATGAAGAAATGTTAGAAGTTTAAATAAAATTCATTTTTTTATTATTTAAACACGAGGAATATCCTGGTGATTTAAACTTCCAGTGTTTCTATAAAAAATTATCTTTTCTTTTAATTATTTTCATCAGCAAAAAGTGTAACTTTATTGACTTTTTCGGCTTTATTTCAATTTCTTAATTATTTTTCAATTCTGAATTATATATACATAAGAACATATTTGTCATTTGAGATCTTTTGTGCTTTATTTTCATAGAATTGCTGCATGGGTTATGTATAAACTTCTTGGTAAAATGCTAGATGGTATTGAAGTTGAAAAGAAGCAGATAGAAGCTATAAAAAAGGCATCGGAGGTTTGTCTTTATTTCTTTATAATAAATTTATGAAATGTAAAATCGCATGAATAATTGGGGATTTTCCCGTTAAACTGATATCACTTGGCTTTTTTTGTTTGTTTGGTTGTTTTGTTTTGGCATTTTTCTTGGCAGCAGTTGAAATGTGTATCCATAACAATAGCTTTTTCACTTTTAAGTTTCTCAGTAAGAGCAGGTATTTAAGAACAAGTATTAAATTATGCTAGAAACAAAAAATTAGAAGTCTTTTTTAATAACAGAACAAAAGCATTAGAATGTGGTGTGATATGTTTAATTGTATTTATGGCAAGAAAGAGCATAAAAAGAAAATCTTGTCAGTAGTGAACTCTTGATCCTTGTCATTCAGGTCTCTGTTAACATTAGCAACACACCGGCTCTTGTCCATGGCATCTTAATGAACATAATAGTCCAATTTGAGTACTAAAATTTATTCAAAATGTCTTGCCTTCATCTTTATGTCAGATTTTCTTCCTATGTTAAGAAAAATCTTTGCAACTTCTTTTTCTTACTGTTATTAGTTGTTCTTTATAGGCCATTTCTACAAACTATTGATAAAGGTTTTTCACCTTTTTATAGTGATTAGAGGTGTAATAGATTTTGTCTTGATAGATGGCAATTTTTTTTATTAAATTATGCATATTTTTCATAGGTTTAATTTTAAAGTTTTTAAGTTAAAGTATCTAGCTCAACAATAAACATAAGTTATTTACAGGGTTGTCACGCTACCTGCAAAACCTGAAAAACCGGGTAAAGTTAGGAAATTTGAAAACTGACCAAAAAAGTCATGGAAAAATCAGGGTGTTTAAATATTTAACCAAAATCTGAAAAAGGCGGAATTTCATACGCCAGTCCCCCCCCAAATCAATTTTTACACAAACGTTGGAAGCGATCACTTTCTTGTCAAATTATGTATCGTGTGAGCATCATTTGGGAAGCTGGCATAGAGCCGGGTTTCACAGCTCCAATCAGATTGTCCTTTAGAAAGGCAAAGCAAGCTCCCAGCAACTTTGCTTTCCAGTAACCTCGAGAATCGAGATATTCACATGTGGAGTGCATGTTGAATGAAAGAAATTTCTTTCCCATTCTCGTATAAAGCAAACTCGGTATAATCCTATTATACAGTATAGAGCAGTAAACCGGGCATTTATGTTCAGCATTTAAACGAGTCATTTTGGTGTTGGCGATAGTTTTCAAAATCATTCCAAAGCCGTACTGTATACTAGGATTTTACCACAAAATCTTTTAAACTATTTTTTTCTCTTTTTAATAAATGTCTAATTTGTCATTTTTAAGTAAAATAAAATTAAAAAAAAAATAGTAATCAGACATCTAGGCGAACCACTTAATATAAATTATAGCCACCAAAATATTGTTGATTATTGCAATTCAGTTTTTAATCTTTAAGTAATTAACTTTTTTTAATGTTATTCATATCATTTAATGTGTCTTCTTTCTTCTAAATTTATTTATTATTAATTAATAATACTTTTAAATTTCAGGCAATCTTTTTCTGGCATACTTCTGAAACTAATTCTAGCAGTGTGATATATCACGAAATTTAATGCACATATTTTTTGCTTATGTCTGCTGCTAAATAAATTATTTTAAAACATCATTAAACAGATTTCTTTCTTTTGTTTAGCTGTAAAATGTCTGCAAAAAAGACATTTTTTAATCCAGATTAGGCAGAATCTAATCTCAATCTTCAGTGTAGAAAACAATTCCTATTTTACTTATAATAATAATAATGCTCTTGGTATAATTCATATGTAATTGGCAAATTTTTGTGGTTTCAAGTGGTACCATAGTTAATTTACCTCTCAGCACAGCCAACGCACACTATGTGGGTAGACTGGAATTTTCTTAAAACATGCCTGTAAAAGTTAGGGAATTTCATTTTCATGTTTGATTGGCAATACTATATTTATTATGTCTTTTGTGAATATTGTTTACTATATATCGGGTAAATAATGGAGCTATGAAATTTCTCATTAAGCACCAATAGCTTCTGTATATTAGTGTGTTGCACTGACATAGTAATCAGATCTGCTGTTTACTTTAAGAGTCTTAAATCATATTAAAACCATATTTTTGTTATACCTTTTATTTTTTCTACGTGTAATGCCCTACTTTTTATAAAGTGAGTGTAGCTTTTATGAAGAAAAGTTTTTGATGATAGACTAAAATTAATTTTAAGGTACTTATCAGCTTATTTACAACCAGTGCCAAGAAAAAAGCACTTTTAAATGATAGAATTTTAGGAGAAATATTTTTTTAAAAAAAGGCAGGAAGAAAAACAAATTTATCCAAAAATATAAAATCCTTCTGTATATAAGTCGTAATTTATTTTCAAGGTGGCAATGAACTGGCAATAGCAACTTAATGCTGCCAGGGATGCAATTTTTAAAGCTGTTACTGTTATTTAAGGCCATTCTCTTATTGGCAGATTTTCACATTGCATATCTTATGTCTTTTCTCATGGTATATAACTTAATTTAAAAGCATTTCCACAAATATGAGTTGACATCAAAGTACCTTTTCTTGGAAAAATAACTAGCATTATCTTCATTTTTCACTTGATGATTAGTTCAAAACTGTCATGATTTTGAACCATCCCTTCCAAAATAGATTGTGCTTGGCTTTTCTATTTTGTTTGGTGATAAATGCTACCAACTTGATTAATCATTGGGTGCCAAAATACTGACACATTTTAAAATATTAAGTAAAATTTTGTGGAATTTATGTAAATGTCTTTTGATGGTTGAAATTTATAATTTTTTGGTGATGTCACATTTTTCTTTTCTAATTTAGGAAGACATACCTATGATATACCTGCCTCTTCATCGAAGTCATTTAGATTATATTCTTGTTACATTTATTCTTTACTTGAATGACCTTAGAGCTCCATTAGTTGCTGCTGGGAACAATTTAATGATTCCATTTTTTGGGTAAGAAGATAGGTTCATAATGTATTGATTACTTGTACATTCAGCTTCATTTTGGTTGTTATAATATTTTAGAAAGCTTTAATTTTAAAAGTGCCAGTTTTAGCTTTATTTTTCTTACTTGAATTGCAATGTATTAAATGTTGTTTTCTGCAGTGCTTCCCAAACTTTCTAGCATTGCAACTTATTTTTTGAAACATTTTATTATAACCTCTTTTTATGTAGTTGTGTGAAATAATAGAGAGAAAAAGTATTCTAGAAATGCTGTTATAATTATATATATCTAATAATAAGTTCAAATGAATGTATGCAGTTATATTTTCCTTAAGAACACACTTAAAATTTTTTCTTGCTTTACCTAAACTACGGTTAATTTTACCAGATTGCTATGTACTCATCAGGAACCATTTTTTATATTTTCTTTTATTATGATAATTTCTCTTTCAAAAACCAGTGATCTTGCAACTAGTTTGGTTCAGCTAATAACTAATATTAACTATGTAACTTATTAACTAACGTTAATAAGGTGTGATTTTTATTTTTTGCTGTTTAATTAAATCGGAGTCATTTCAATGCTGTATCACAAATAACATTTTTTGTGACACACAAAACAGCTTAGACAATATGGCATTTCCAGAGAAGAAAACTGCAGTGTGCGCCTTAATCCAGGATTGAAACCATGTCAGTTTGGGAGTAGCATCCACTAACTGCTTTACTAACCAGGAAATTAATGGACTGTTTTTTCGTGTTTAAGCAGCAATTTATGCTATGGAAAATGAATAAAAAAGTAATGATTCAGGAATGCAGTTGAAGGTAGTGTTGTGGAGAGTTCAGATAAAAGCACTGACGATGAACAACAACATGAGATGTTATGGAAGTAAACTGTAATTCAATCTCTGAAGAAATGTTTAGTGATGAGAGTGAAAATGAGGATTATAACTGATCTGCAAACTCATGTTCATGATAGAATGTTTATATGTGAAATATATTTGAAGTTTTATAAAACATGTTTAAAAAGCTGTTTTTCTTTATAAAAGCTCAGATAAATAACAATTTTACTAAACAACAATTTTGAGCTAAAAGAATAATATGAGTGAAACTTATCATCCATGTAGCATTTTAAAGTTTTTTGGTAGAACTAACTCTAGGATTAAGAAAATAGAGAAAAATAATCTATAAAAACAAGGTAATAGTATATTTCTTCGATTTTAGCATGGCCTTGGTTATAAGATTCATCACTTAATTTCAGTTTTGGCATAGTGAAATACTTTAAGAAAATAAAATGAATGAAAGTAAATGCTAAAATACATCCAGCAAGTATTGTTTTAATAATTGACTTCAATTTATTACCCAAGTAATAGTCCTGCTTAAAATAGATAATTTGGTGAAAATTTTTTAATTGAATAATTAGCAATTAGAAAAGAAGTATGTTTTGAAAATGCATCCAGTCCCCCCCCCCAGTGTTTTTAAGGGAAAGGGACATCTTAGATTCAAACAAGTATGGTAATTACAAGCTGGAAAAACTAAATATTAGCAAATGTTTCATTTTTAGGATTAAGAAAATATTGCTTATTATTGAATATTAAAGGGAAATTAATATCTCTTATAAGTAGTATCTATCTATAATTTTTCATTTGTTTGCTTACGGATTTATACAAGATTCATAAATGTTCATATTTACAGTACTCTCATAAATATTGTAAAATGTTAGATTCTTTGTCGTGTTTAGGTATGTATTCCTGTTTTAATTTATATTACTGTTTCTCTTATACAGTGCACTGCTGAGGGGTCTTGGGGCTTTTTTTATCAAACGAAAGCTTGATCCACAAAATGGTCAACGGGATTTTGTGTACAGAGCTGTTCTTCACACAGTGAGTGTTCCAAAACATATATTTTTACTAAACTGCCTCATTAACACATTGACTGCCCAACACGAGATAACTCGTATTAGCGCTTTTCTTCAGGACGCCCAATATGAGTTATCTCGTAGTTTCTTGATTTGCCACCTTTGCGCCACCACGAATTACTCACTTAGCACTTGTTTCAGTTGTACTGAGGCGACAAGTCGAAACATGTCCGTACGAATCAACTCATAGTAAGAGCTTTGTCTAACAAAAGCTGACTACAAGATAATTCGTAGGACCCTTTTTTCTAAAAAAAACATCCTGTAAACTTTTTAATGATTGTTACGAATCATCATTAGTATTTTTAATAATATGATTAAATCGATTTGGCTTCTCGGCCCGGAATCCGAAAAGTGCTGTGGCAGTCAGCGTGTTAAAAGCTAAATAGTATACCTTATAACTTGGAATCCAGGATGATCTCCATCCTCCATTTTTAGAAATGAATTGGTGAAAAAAGGTGTATAGCACAGACTAGGTGTATATTTTCTAAACTTCAACTGTACTGGATGGCATGTCAAAGTAATTAAGAGTCTCATCATCATTTTCAATTCGCCTTAAGTGGTAGTCATGCTTCTTTCTCAATCTTGAAACTTATCATTAAAAACTGACTAATTTCCCTCATGTGCTGCTGGAAGATCCTGAGCAAGAGATGTTTGACATTGTAACATAAATCCACTGCATCGCATCATCTTTGTACACAGCATCTAGAGCTGACTTTAAATTTGACATTGTGCTCTTGCAATGCTTCATATGCTTTAATTCGTGAAACAGCCATTCCTTTATTTTGTTTCTCACACACAAATGCCATTACTTCCATTTCTGTGTTCTTGAAATGTCTTTACTGCAGGCCACTGAAAGCTTTCTTAGTTGAAGCGTCAATTTTAGTTCTTTGTCCTTTGACCACCTCTGAATATTAGTTTCTGTGATACCATATTTTCTAGCTGTCACACAATTAATTAGTGCTTCTGCATGCTGAATAACCATGATTTTGAAATTTGCATCATATTGCATCTGCACTTTCACAAAGTTCTGTGTTTATCTTCGCTGCTTGATACTTCAATGCAATACGTAAGAGTATCAATAAAATAAAATCAAGAAGTTAACATATACACACTACCTAGTATTGTGTATTACATTTAAGTGTGAAGTTCAGAAGTGGAATCTAAATCTCACAAAAACTAATAAATGCTTTTCATATTGTTACGTTTTTCTTTTCTTCCTTCATGTTCGTACGGGGTTTGTAGATTTGGAGTGAATAACGACGACACTTGATGAAGTATTGAAACACACTTTATTTAGCAGTACTGTAACCAGGACACCTTTTTTACAAGTCACTTTTTTACAGTCATCGAAGATTTACTATAAACACGCCTGACACAATCAGCGACACCCAGCCTTCAGGTTATCAGGCTATTATGGTGGAAGACAGCTTCGCTGAAAGCACCAGAGCAGAGTACAGCTCCTGACTCTGCTTGGTCATTCTCGGAACTCCACATATTCTTGAGACTCTCCACGCTACAACTCATGGTGCAGTCGGCGACACAATGAGCACAGCTCCCGACTTTGGTTCACTCGTTCGTGGAGCTCAACACGCTCTCTCGGTGATGCACTAAGCGTGATAGACTACGAGACTCCTTTGATGAACTCAACGACCCACTTGGCACTCATTGCCTGGCTGTCAACTCGATCGACTCCGCACTGCTCGCTAGACGAGGCACACTGTCTGAGACACACTGACTGCAGACCAGCAGGGCTTTCGGCTTGTGTTCGGGAACATTCTGGACTAAACCGGTAAGAATTTGTTCCAGAAGGTTCTCCAACCGTCCATGGTATATCGCCAAATGGGCGATTTCTCACCAAATATGGCAACCCTGCCTACCTTGCCATTTTATGGCAACCCTAAAACTGCTTTGCGGGGAAGCCATCTCACCGTGCCTTTACATTTCGTAACAGTATGTTCCTATTTATGTTCTCTCTTCTTCACAGGGTAGGAAAACTCCCTTCTGTCATGCTGCATTTTGCTCCTATCGCACTACTGTTAGGATTGGTTAGTTTATTGAACAAATCTGAACCAATATACCAGTTACAAGTATACCAATTTCCTTGCTAATATAAACAAAATCCCATATGAGATATATTCAGAGCAGCTTTCACATAGATCATAAAATTTCTTACCAAATCTAGTACTTTTGATAGAATAAATTCTTTTCATCCAAGGCATCTTTTCTAGAGCAGTAGAAACTCTGATTGCACTGTGCATTTCTGTTCCATAAATTGATTTTAATTTAGACCTGAGGTGCTCTTTGATTGATTGAACTTGTACTCTAAAAGTTTTCTAGTGGTAGTGTTGGGAATCATAGACTGCATCATCTGGAAAGTGGAGAAATTTAAACAGAACTCTTCTTTCATTAGTTTTCCAAAGAACAGTTGTCACATTAGAATGAGAAGCATTGTGTTGTTAAATACGTAGGTTGGGGCAAAAGTCATGGCAACTATTTTTTTTCATTAAGATACCAGTCCGTTGGAAAATGTGACATATACAGACGAAAAGACAAGGTCTTAACTACATGTTTGGACAATGAATAGCACTGAAATATCGTAGCATACGAATATATTATGGTAGTATACAGGGCAATATGGCCTTCACCGTGCAAAAGAATGATAACACAATACACATAAATTTGATATGATAAACCTGGGCCTAAAGACCCTCAATGCAGTCCTCTGCTACTGTCACCACATGCTGCCAACGATGTGGGAGGCGCTGAATACCATCAGCCTCAGCATTTGCCGCATCATGTGTGAATCAGGTCATCTGTTGGCGCACAGCATTGGCAATGTCCTCTCGTGTTGCAAGCCGACTACCACGTATTTGTTCTTAATCTTGGGAATGAGATCAAAGTCACAGGGCGAAAGGTCAGGAGAGTACGGTGGGTGCTCCAATTTTTCCCATCCCCAACGTCGGAATAGCTGCTGTACACATTCTGCTGTATGTGGTCTTGCGTTGTTGTGCAGAATTATTGCACTGTTCACAAGATCCGGACATTTATCCCGAAAGCCACGTCGTACCTTTTGCACCAGGAAGTCCCTGTAGTACTGTGCGGTCACTGTTCTGCCATGAGGAACAGTGACAAAGAATAACACCCACCTTTGCATCATACTGTCGACGATCACCATGCAATTACCCACCTGGGGAAGCAATTTCTGCGTAGCTGTAGCTCATTATGCAATATCCTGTGGAACAGTGTGCATTCCTCAATGCCACTTGCCCCTCATGGACTCCAGACAGACGTCCATCGTCTGTCTTCATCCATGAGGTGCTCGATGACGGCACGTGCCAAGTCGGTCCGCACACTCACAGATTGTCTCGAACGTTGCTCATCACTGGTTGACACATGTCCATGCTAAAACTTTCCTCCCCACCCTGCTACTGTACGATATATTAAGGTATTATTCCCAAGGGCTTCTACTAATTCACTGTGACATTCCATCGCATTTCTCCCTCGGAGAACGGCTATTTTGATGTAAGCGCACTGCTCAACACGGGTTACTTCCATCTCGCATGACACTCACCAACTGACTATTTCAGAGCCCTCGCTACTACAGAGCCAGCTATCACAGAGTCATTTGTTGTTCTGCATACACACTATGCCTGCAGAACTTCCACACAACACATATATGTTTTGTGATCCGTTCACATATCTACAAGAAAAAAATAGTTGCATTGACTTTTGCCCCAACCCTCATGTATGATCTGCTGTTTTCTGATACTGAGTTGTTCATAAAGTATACAAAACAGCACATCAGGTCATTTTGTAAAGCAGCACATTTCTTCAGCTGTTATAAGTAAACCAAAAATCAATAACTTAGTCCACACAATTATTGCTATTGCTAAAGTATTCATTAATTTCTAGAAGAGCTTTTTTTATCTGAGGATAGATAGATTACTCTTTTTATTATAACTTTTGTGAAAAGACTGCAGTGCACAAAGAAATATGATAGCAAACCCTGTATTGAACATAAGCTTTATGGCTGCTGCATTGGCCTATAACAGAGTGAATTTGCTCTAACACGCCAATAAAAGAACAAAACTGTAGCTTGTCATTCTCATGAGTTACGAACCAGAAATTATCATGGTCAGATGCATGTCAGACTTATTTCAAATCAACAGGGTGAACATGTATATGTCATACTAACATGAGAAGTTAATGGATAATTAAATTGTTTGGGAAAAAAATGTTTATGCAAACTATTTCTAAGGAAATAATGCAAAAAATGATGTGGTACAAAAAATTAATTTTAAAAGCAAATTGTTCTTGATGATATTTTGCCACAAATCTGTTTACAATTACTTGATGATATTAACCGTAAAATGTTCAAACTATATAAACCAAACATTAGGTTCATTAAATAAATTATGGTTTATCACAATTCAAAATTTTATCTTGGAATAATTTTCCTTTAAAATTTCGAGAGAATATTACATTTCATTTAACATTGATAAAAATGTCTTTGTATGATCTGAAACATTATATGTAGTCCCATTTTCATCCATTTAAGTTTTGTTTTATGAACACACATTATAAATAAAATTGAAATTATAATAAACCATCATATTCAATATCTCCAATGCCAGTATTACATTTTGGACATTTTTCTTGTGAACATAATATCTGTAAATAAATATGGGAAAAAATACAATAAATATGGATGAAATTAAACAAATTGCTTACCTTGCTTAATTTTTTGACATTACTTTTTGTTTTTTTCTTAAAAAATATTTTTATCAATTAGTTGCCAATAAAAAACAATGTTTCTGTCTGCTGTATTTTAATAAGGGACATTTTCCTTGAAGCTCTGTGTGTATTGCTTGTAAGCAATTTACAGACCTTTAGTTTGACTGCGAAATGGGGCATTTTGTATATTATTCTTTTGATTGACTTGAAACTGTGAACTGACCTACATTAATGAACATTTCTCATTACGAACAGTTCTTAAAATTCAGGTACCCTTGAAGTAGGAGACCAGTGCACGTCATCAGCACACATTTCTTTGATAATGGACAAAAGTATTAGTGTCCTGTGAGTGTATGCTGACATATTTAATTGGGTTTAAATTTTTTTTTCATTCATAAAAATTTAATATACTTGTGAGTTTTCATTTTATACTGGCATTGAGGTGTTCTGAATTTTTCCCATTGTTTTTTTGCTCAAATCTCTTTAAATTTCTTTGATTTTGTATACCTGACCATTGCAAAGTTTAGAAGGAAAAAAATTTCATCTAAATTTGTTTCTCCAAACAAGCTCAAGCCATAGTGTGAGAGGGATTATTGTTTATTTTAAGTACTTTTCTTAGTTTACCATGTTTAATTGCAAACCATTTTGACATTAATGTAGGATTTTAAAATTTTGCATATTAATTAAAGGATTCTATAGAAATATTTTTGTAAAATGTTTTCTTTTACAAGAGTAAAAATAGAAATTCTCGCTTCCCTATTTTTACTTATTGTAGAAAGGAATTTTTCTTTTAATTTTTATGTATTTATTTTTTTTTTGTATGTATTAGTACATGGAAGAGAGCTTAAAGGAAGGCCATAGCCTGGAATTCTTTATTGAAGGTGGTAGATCTCGCACAGGAAAAGCTGTTTTGCCTAAAGCGGGATTGCTGTCTATTGTAGTTGATACCTTGATGTCAGGTATTCACTTTTCCCTCCTCCTTTTGAGGTTATTTTAATATATTCTTTCTATTTATAATAGTAGCAAATATTTTCTGTAATTTACTGTGTACCATTTTTCTTTGAATTTTGTTTCAGGAGGAATAAGAGATGCATATATAATCCCTATTGCAATGAGCTATGAAAAACTGCTGGATGGAAATTTTGTATCTGAACAGCTGGTATGTGTCATGTTTGCTTTGGCATTGCAGGTGCAAAATTATTAATTTTTGGATCTATATATGAAGTAATGTAATTATCAGAGTGTTAAGTGTGTTTTCAGCTTTGAAAAGGAAACTTTTGTATTACAAACCTAAGTCAATATATTTTCATGATTATTAATTTTCTTTATTTCTAGGTCATACAAAGTGTGTTTATACATTTTTAGAATGATTTTGGGGTCGTTTAATTAATGTTTAAAATTTAAAGAGTATTTTTTTAAATGTTCGATCTCGTACCCTTTTTCGGGACTACTAAGTCTGCATTATGATTTGCATGGTAGAAGGGCATTTCATAAAAATTTCCAGGATTATTGATTTCCATTCCTCGTCCACTGCTTCCCAGAGTCCATCCAGAGAAAGTATAACGATGAGGGCAGTCCGATAAGTACGTAGCCTACAAAAGAAAAATGAAAATTTTGGAAAAGTGGCGATTTATTTCTCAACAGTCTCCTTTCAACTCGATACACTTGACCCTAGTGATGCTCCAACTTCTTTAACCCATCTGAAAAATACATTTTCTGGAGGTCTGCAAAGTAGATCTCCGTGGCGACGATAACCTCCTCATTCGACTCAAATTTCTGCCCGGCGAGTGACTTTTTCAAGTTTGGAAACAAAAAGAAGTCACACGGGGCCAACTCTGGAGAATACGGTAGATGGGGCAGCTGTTCATAGCCTAATGCAACCAATTTGGCCGTGGTGACGGCGGAGGTGTGAGATGGTGCATTGTCATGGTGGAAGAGCACTTTTTTCTTTGCCAAATGGGGCCGTTTTTTTCTGCAATTCAAGGTCGAATCGGCCCAATAGTTCGGCATAATAGAGCCCTGTGACCGTTTTGCCCTTCTCCAGGTAGTCGATGTAGATCACACCTTGTGAATCCCAGAAAATGGTGACCATCACCTTTCCAGCTGATGGGACAGTCTTCACCTTCTTCGGAGCACATTCGCCGGGTAAAGTCTACTGTTTCGATGGTTCCTTGGTCTCTGGTGTGTACCAGTGAATCCATGTTTCATCAACGGTCACGAAACGATGCAGAAACTCCTTCGGATTGCGCTTAAACAATGTCAAACACTGCTCTGAAGTGGTCTCACGGATGCACTTGTTGTCCGGAGTGAGCAAACGCGGCATCCATTGAGCCGACAGCTTTCTCATGCCCAATATTTCATGCAAGATATGACCCACGCAGTCTTTTGAGATGCCTACTGTCTCAGCTATCTCGCGCACCTTCAATTGGCGGTCTGCCAATACAAGATCGTGGACTTTTGTCACGTTATCCTCCGTGGTAGCCGTTTTTGGGGCACCTGGGCGTGGCTCATCAAAAAGTGACTTGCGACCATGTTGAAACTCGTTAAACCAATTGTCGCCATTGAAGGAGAAGAGTCACCGTACACAGCAACCAAGCGCTCTTTGATTTCGCTGCGTGATTTCCCTTCCAAAAATGAGAATCTAATCACCTACCGATATTGCTCTTTTTCAATTTTTTCTGAAATCCGCGGACACGCAGTCAAAACAAAACTACAAATCCAGTATGGCTGAAATTTTGACAGTACCCGTCTACAAGGATGTACTACACGATAATAAATTTCTCTTACGATAGTGGCGCCATCGGGTGGTGAGGCTAAGTATTTATCGGACTGTCCTTGTATGTGTGGTTGGTTTGCACTTAGAAAGAGCTGTTTTCAAGCACCGAAATTCACAGTAGTTTATAAGTGAATGTCAGGGTACTCTGGAGGAATACGTTGAATAGGTAATGAGCTTCTAATAGAAAACTGGCTTGTTCCATTTTTAATGGGATATTTTAAAATTCCTATTCATTTGTAACTTTTGTTTTGTAACTTCATAAAAATTTGGATACTTCTTAAACACTTTTTTGTTTTCATCTTTGATTATACTGAGATTTTGCTACATCAGGCTTTGACATGCCCATTATGAAAGTATATGTGTGGACATTGAAAATAATAGGATTTCCTATAACCTCATATTTGCAGATGCATTCTGGTATTCAAAGTATCCAGTTATGTGCTTTCTTGGACTAGGGTAGAAGATAATCCTTCGTTTTCACACATCACATCGTATGCAAGTTTCTGAAATGCACAGTTTTTTTTTAAAATTTACTTGACAATTACATTACAGAGCATTTAAATTGAAACTTTCTAAAACATATACTGTTTAAATTGTTTAAAATATACAGTCTTGTGCAAAATTAAGAAAATTTTCTGAGAAAGTAATGAAATTTGGTAGGAATGTACATTTATTTTAATGGTACAAGAGATGCACCATTCAAAAGTTATTTTATGTATGCATGCTTATCAGTAAAACTCTTGATGCAGAGATGTTCAAAATCCATGTTGTGACATCGAAATGAAAGTGAGTCTTAATTGATGGCATTCTGGGTAGGAGGCAGTTGAGGAGATCTTCAACTATGGAATGGTTTTCAAATGGGGGTGGCAAGATTACTTATCCTCCCAAGAGCATCCCAGACATGCTGTATATGGTTAAGGTCAGGAGATCTGGCTGGCCAATCCATGCAGCCAATATCCTCACTTTCGACAATTGTCAACCAGCTGAACCTACAATAACAGTAACCCAAGTCTAAGGGCACACCCCTGAAAAGTCAAACATAGGTCTTTAAGATTTCCTCTGTATATTTCATAGCAGTCAAGGAGCCTTTCTGAAATGCATGCACGGGTGTGTTGCCATCCAACATAATGCCTGCCCAAGCCGTTACATCTCCACCATCATAATAATTATTTTCTCTGATGAGAGAGATATGGTAATGTGTTCCAGGCTATTTCCAGGTACAGGGATGCTGAGAATCGGTGTTTCAGACTGAACATCTGTAAAAAGTACAGTGCTCAAATGAAGTTTTGTCAAAGGCACATGGTGTCTGAACCATGCTAAATGCACTTTTTTCTGTGCTACACTGAGTGGGGGAACAAACAGCAGGTCTTCTAGCATGTAGCCCCATCTCATGAAGCCTTTTGGCAACTGTAGACCATGAAATTTGGTCTCCAGTGTACCTACAGTCTGTTTCATTCCATCATGCATACATTCATGGCTACTCATTTTACTTGATTCTTTACAAAATTTACCCAGCTTTTGTGAAAAATGGCAAATATCATGAAGTACACAAATTGCCGAAAACCTCTTATATGCTTATATCCCCTCCGCAGACACTCATGTGTATGCTTACCTATTCGACTCTTGATATTTGTGTAATGCTTTGGAAACATAATTAATACCTATGGTTCAATAATTTAAAAAAAAATGGTGTAAATTGCAAATTCTCTCAATTTTGTGCACAAGCGTATTATTTAAATTTTTCTTTCTAGGACATATAATAATACACTACTTACTCAAAATTAAAAAAGAATTTGACAAAAAAATATACTCATAAACTTGAATTTTCAAACAATGTCGGTCATAATTGTTGCTTCCCAGCAACTGAATGCAATATTAAACTTCTGCATGTAGATTAGTGCATCAAATATGTAAATTAGGTGATTGACAAGATGTTGCACATTAGATATAGTTTAAATTTGGGTGTATATTTGTTAAAATTGATGTGTTTTCATAGTGATCAGTATTCATTAGGTATGAGTCAAAGGCATCTGTTAGGTGAAGAGTAAAAATTGCGGTTAACTTGTAGATAAGATTAAAAATTGGGGTTAACTGGTAGATTTGATTTGGAAACTAAACATATTATGGTGGGCCAGAGCTATATAATCCACAGTGTGTCATATAAAGAACTCAGAACCACTTCCCAAGCTGTGAATTACTTAGTAAACAACCTTTTCAAGGGCAGCCTTGAGCAACGAATGCATTCAAAGATTTTTCCTGTCACTGTCAGCTTGAAAAATGATCATTCAATGACTACTAGAGTTGGTTTAAATCTTCAGGCTGGCACATAAACAATAATGAGTTGTTCTACTGCTGCACTAAAGATTTACAGCATATATGGCTTCATGGGGAGGGGGAGAAGAGAGGTTTGCGTCTCACTCACTTATCTTCCAAAGAAGCATGCTGAACATAGTGTCATTGTCATTTTTGAATGAAACCAAGAGGAATAGGGTCGTGTACTGTTTACTCTGGAATTCTGACATAGCCACCTGAACTGTGATTCTAGATGTGTTTTATTTGGAGAAAGTGAGAACACACAATTTACTTCTTTTGTAATAATTGGCAACTCTCCCAAATTCTCGTCACATCTTTGGGTCCAAAACGTTGAGTGCAATCTTTAGAAATTTATACCTGCATACTCCTTTAGGCCTATGTAGATAGCCTGCAATTTTTCTTGTTGACCATTAAAGGGTAGTGTGTATTAAAGGGTTAAAAAGTTGTTGGTATAAAACTAGTTTAGGATTTCCAAAGCGCAGATTATCGGTTTTTATTCTTTCAGTGGAATGGAGGTCTTCCATTTTTAATTTCCACCATAATAATAAATGTTTTAATTGTTTTGCATATTATTTCATCACTTCAAATTATATTTGGCTTTTGTATACATCTGTATGATGTATGTAATGAATACTTAAACATTTTAACAGGGCAAACCAAAGCAAATGGAAAGCTTCACATCTGCGATACAAGCCATATGGAGAACTTTGCATTCTAATTTTGGGACTGTACGAGTTGACTTTTGCCAGCCATTTTCTCTGAAGGTATATATTTCTAATTATTATCAAATTTTAGTTAAGCATTATTTTTTCTGTAAGTTCTCTGAACATTTTTAATTTTTTATTGCATGCATTTTTGTAATTTTACAATAAGTTAATGCCTTCCAGATGGGGAAAGCCTTTTATGTTAATAGAATATGAAATGCATTGTGAACTATCATTCTGATATGAAATAAATCCATGACTGCAGTAGTACTTTTAATGATAAATATCATGCATGAAGAATATTCATATTAAGAAATGGTGTCTGGATTTATGCAGTTTTTCTATAGGAAAATTATTTTGTCTATATCATCACCTCGCTATTTTTTTTTATTGCAAATCTCTCAAAATAGTCATTGAAACCAATAACAATCAAGAGCCATAATAACATAACTGAGCAGAGATATTGAAATATCAAGAACAAAGTGTTTGCTGTTGTTTTCAATGATAGCATCAAGTTTTAAGCATTTCCTGGTGTGCAATTTATAATCTGAGAAAACTTATCTACGACAATTTCAGCTGCCCTTCTGTAAATTAGTTTCTTTGCTGCGTGCAGCATACTACATGGAGCTGCCTAGTATAATTAATGTAGATCTTTTAATAGTGGGAAGATGATAAAATATCTATCCTGTAAATCATTAACTTTATTTTCATATTACGTAAGTTTATGCTTAGCCATTTGTCTTATAAAAGTATGAGGAAACATTCTAAGCTGTTGCCTAGATCAGAATAGCATTTCATTGTTTTGGATGGTTTCCAGTAATTTTATGATTTGGTAACTGATGATAATATTTTTCTTGTGTTTGGATATCTTTTTGAAGATAATCATTTAGTTTCAGTTTGATCAAATTTGATCACATTCTGTCATACCTGGAAAATATTTAATATATGTAATGAGTTTGATTTTGTGCATAATGACTAAATAAATAGCATTGAAGTTTACTTGCATAGTTTTATTTTCTATTCGAGGGCAGAAAAATTATGAGTTTCATTGTTGCATTTTACTTTAAATGAAGCAGTCAGCTGGTTATTAATAGCAGAACATACTTTAGTGAGATAAAAAGAGTCCGATTTTAAGTCGATTTTTTAAAGTAAGGCACATTTTAATAATTTGAAAAATAAGGTATATTCTATTATTACTGATTATTAGACATTTATTTTTGTTGCCGTCAAACAACACTCTTTGAAATGTCTTAACGTAATCAGGGGAAAAAAATATATTCTGACTTTTGATTACAGAACTATGCAGTAAAAACTCTCATGCTTTCATATTTCAGTAAATGTAAATATTGGTTCCTCAACTTAGAGAATAAATATGTAAAAAGCACCTTAAAAATGTACATATTTGAGTAATTTTTATAAAGCTTGTTCTGTAGCACTTTATTTATTTATCTTGGCCATTCTGAACCTAGAATAGCTGTGTACATATCCCTCTGTTTCTACAGCCTGATTTGTCTCTGTGTGTTTGTTATTTTACTTATTTTTAAAGTTTTCTTAATGAATTAGCTTATTTGTTCATGTTCTGAAGCGTTTTTCTTTACTCTAGGAGTTTCTTTATGCTGCGGAATATTCTTACAATTCACCTGCTAGAACTCTTCAGCCTTGTGTAATCAAGCAAAACCAGTGTTTCTTTAATCATGACATGAAGGCTCGACGTAGATCGGAGTATGGCACAGAGATCGTTTCGGAGGATCATAGACAGCTTATTAAGGACCTTGCAGACTACATTGTTTACAGTAATTTCTAAAAATATATCTATATAAAATATAGAGTAATTTTAGGTGAATGTGATCTATATATTTGTGTGTCATAATCGAAGTATGAACTTTAATGATTTTCTTCATGTGAAGTAAGCACAAATCCATAGCTACCAACTGTCGTGGTTTTTTTCGTCACATCTCGCAGTCTCCTACATTGAATCTCTTGGTTTTAGCATTCATTACGGAAAACATTTCACAGGAAAGAATGAAATCTACAGAATTAATAAAATTTTAATTATGCAAATTCCATTCTTCTGCTGCAGTAATTTTCACCATAATTTTTCTAATTAAATTTTATACGATTTGAATGGCCTTATCTGCTATAGACATTTCTAGAACGTTTTATAAATATTCAGCTAATGTCAGTTATTATATTTTGCGTAATTTTGTTTTACATCAATATATGGTACATTGCAGAGTTTATTCATCAAATAATATGTGTATTAATAATTCATTTGATTTTCATTGTGTTTAAAAGTATTTTGATTAATAAAAGCTTTCCTTCCTACTCAGTATAAAAAGTGTAAGAAAATTACAAAATGATAACTTTAGAATATCTAATTAAGTGTTAAGTTTTACATCTGAGTCATACTATAAATAGTTCATTAACCTAAAGTCATGCATTATAAAGTGATTTTAAGTCAATGTGGATTCTTTCAAAATGACATTGCTGCTCAGTGTGAAAACTTCCAAGAATCTGTTTTTTTTTTTTTTTTAAATATTTTAAAGTTGGCAACTGTGCAGACCAATTTACATTTGGAAATATTTCTATGTAAGAATCTTCTTCAAAGATAAATAATCCATTAAATTCAAAATTTTGTCATGATGATGAGATTTATTCGTATTAAAAACTATGCATTTTTTTAATATATAATTATTTAAAAATTATAACCTTTGCCTTATGAACTCAGTTATTTTCTTGAATGTTTAGCCATTTCTTGTGTAGCATTCATTTGCTTTTTTAATTATTATATTAATGAAGTCCATTTAATTTATTCTCTTATTTAAGTTATTTATAAGTAAATGCGTGCTCTTGTTCTCTTTTCAGATGCTTTCAATGCATATTCGTTGATGTCCACAAACATTTTGGCTTTTTTGTTTTTAACTAAGCACAGAAAGGCAAGTTGAGTTTACCTTTGTTTTCCTTTTTATTTTCCATTTTGTAAAAATGTAATTTTTTTCTTTCTTTTTCCTTAATAATCAGTGTGATTTCATTTTAAGCATGGTTGAAATGTCAAGTCTGTAATAATTTTTTGTTTAAATTTATTTTTATAGGGAGCTACATTTAGTCAGCTTGTCAGTAGTTTGAACTGGTTAAGAGAAGAAATTACAAAAAGAAATAAAACAATACATTTCTATGGTGATTCTGCAGATTTAATTACTAGAGCAACATCCTTGCTGGGAAAAAATCTGATTAATGTAGACGCTGTGCAGATGGAATGGTCTTCAGGATTGTGTAATAACAATATGAAATTAGTTTATTATAAATCATCTGTAAGTTTGCCACATGTGTTGGAACTTCAGTACTATTCAAATGCAGTTTTACCAGTGTTTCTTCTTGAAAGTATTGTAGGTGAGATTTTACTTTTCATAGATTTTTCTGTAAAGGAAGTTTTGATTCATGATTTCAATTTATTTAGTACTGAAATGTAAAAAAAGCAAAAGTGTTAGTAGCATTGTTTTTGTAGTTCGTGCTGCATTTTCATCGAGTTCTAAAGAATCTGAGAAGGATGAAGAAGTTGAACCAGTATATATTCAAAGGAGTTGTATCTTAAAGCAGTCTTTTGAACTGTGTAGCATTCTTCAGTATGAATTTATTTTTACTCCTGTAAGTGAAGATGTTTAAATTTTTGAGAGTTTAACTATCATATTATATTTCATGTTCTTGTTAAAGAACTTCACTGTTTATGTTTGTTTTTCAGCCTGGTACAAGTATCTGTACAGTTTTGAATGCTACTATTGATGAACTCATTGATAATTCTCTTCTCTTAATTAAAGATGTAAGTCTGCAGCTCATTGTATTCTTTATGATAAATAAAAATTGCTTGTAAAATATTTTATCATATACAGTAATTATGAAAAGTAGCGTAACTAAAAAATTCCATACTAGTCATAAGTAAAAAATTAAATAAATATTAATAAATATTCTTGTATTATATTAATAAGTACGTGTGTGTTATAAATATCTGAAGAAGAAATCTCTCTGATTTGATAGATGTTGTCCTGCAGTATTCATGCGGAACATGTATTTAGTATTTTAAATTTTGTGGATTTACAGTATTTCTGTAAAGCACATAAGCTAATCTATATATGTGGGAAATGGTCACGTAGCTATTTGCAAAAAGTGTGACAAAACATGAAGGTTTAAGGTGTAATGCATGCAATTGTCATTCTTTATTTTTCAGCTGTTAGTAATATGCATGTGCAGATCAACAGTGCTATAAAGATTTCTGACCACTGGAATTCTCCATAGATATTTTTGTTTAAATCAACTATGCTGAGAATTATCTGAAAATAACAGTAGAGAAACTAATAAGCCTGGAGAAAGTATGTTTAGCTAAAAATAAGAAAACATATTGACAGCTTTATGGATTGAGCAAAATTTAATATGAAATGCAGGAGGGAAGAAATAACTCAAATTTGTACTATACATCTAAAATCTACAGTTTTTTCTCAGAATTTTTCTTTCATGCTGATTGCATTTCTTCTTTCCAGAAACCAGATATGATTCCAGATGAACTTCCAGATTTGATGCTTGATGATTTCTTTGCATATGGCGATCAGTCAGAATTACAACAGTTAATAATGGTAAGTTTCTTAGAATATAAGTGCATTCTAGAAAATACTTTATAGAACAGTAATTTTCAACCTGTTTTTGTCCCATGAACCCTTTCATTACTGCTAGACCTTTACCCCCTCCTTCCCAAGGGTACAGAGGAAAACATTGCAGATGAAAATGTCATGGCAAAAACATAGTGAAAGAAATAAAAGCAAGGACAAAACATTGCAGTTCTAAAACATTATGGTACTAAACATCACTGTCGAAAATAAAGAGGCTAAGAAACATTGCATTATAAGTATCTTGGAAAAGAATAAAAGTTCAATGAATCATCATGTGACAACATCACAGACAGGTTTTTTCAGGCTTTAAAAGTTGTCAATATATTTGCACAGTAATTTGGAAGCACAAAAAGGGATGAGAATTTGTGCTTCCTGCAGTTATTTCTACATGCAAAAATCATTAGCTTCAGTTTGGAATATTTGACATGATGTGAGGTTTATTCTGCAGAGGTCGCATATATACTTTGAAGCATATATTGACAGTAAAGACCTGTTTCATCTGCATTATAAATTTATTCTGAAGATAACTTGTTGGTGTTAATGAGTTTGATGAATTCATATACAAATTCTTCAGCTGTTTTGGTATTACTGAAGCTTTTTCGCTTGAAATTTTTATCTGCTGTATACCATGGTGATTTTTTAATTAAGCAATCTGTTAATCTGTGCATTTAATTTTTAAGCCCATTTCCTCACATGAAGTATTTAGGGTAGTGCTGGACCCATAAAAGGCATGATGTTGCTGTGACTCTTGACTGACCCCAATTGTATCATCACTTTATCAACTTTTAGAATAACTGATCAGAATGGTAACTCAGATTCCTCAAAAAGTTCGTTTACTGTGTTTCCAATGCCATATTCCTTGTATCATTTTGAGATGAGTGTGCTTTTATTAATTTTTTGCAACAATTCCACTTTTCGCTTCAGTGACATTAAGATATGCTTTTGTTTTCAGATCTGCTGCAGCAGCAGAATTGGAAACTCTTTTCAATGTAATCAATACTTTAAGCTTTAATTTTGATAAAATAGTTGTAGTAATAATAGTCTAAAAATAATAATCTGGGTCAAATTAGAAAGTTAAGGAACAGTACAATTTGCTATAATAACCTGCTAAAGTATTATATTCTGCATTCCTAAACTAAACTTTAATGGGGGGGGATTTAAAAGAGACAAAGAAATTTGCTAGTAGTTTGGAGGTCTGGCTAGTGGATGTTGGACTTGATACTGTACATATATATGCAGTGTTTAATAAATTAAGTTGCATTTAATCATTAACAATATAATAGGAATGTCATGATTCTAAATACAAAGGCAAAATGAAACAAATTTTTGCTCATTTAATAGTAAAATTCTGGCCAAAATAATAATAAACTAGTAGATCTTTTTGATGATTTTATTTGTATACCAACAAACAGCGAATGTATGAAGCGAATGTATGAATTATGGTGGAGTTTTGATAAAGCAAACAGTGTAATTCATAAAATAATTCATTTTGTCCAGGTGGAGTATTTAAATAAAATCGTTCAAATATGTATTCTGATGTGATCCAAGTTCGAAATTGGATGCTCAAGCAGATGCTACATCTGTTGCAATTCTGAGTCATTATTCAGATGTTTGAATTTCCATTTATCTCCTGCTTGATGAAGCTTTATTCAGTTGTAAATCTTGGTTTATTTATTGTTGCTACAGATGTATTTAAAGACTTTGCAGTTGGTTTCTACATTGACTGATTTTCTCTTGTTATGAACAATTAAACTTGGAAACATTATGAACTATTTTTGTATTCATTTGGACTTCTTTCCAGGTAGAAGTAATGACTGATGGATTTTCCCTTTCTGATTAAATAATATTGCATATTCTGGACATAAATAGAAATCATAATACCATGCATATCGCAAAGTTTCTAAATTATGAAAGAGAAATATTTCACATTGGAAAATGCAGAAACCTATCCTGTAATCCATAGCTTGTTTCTATGAAGTATTTTGAAAAGAATAAATTTAAAATTAGCTGACAGTATCTCTCATTTCAAATAATCCTTCTAAAATTATGTATATTTGATTAAATCTGTAAAGTCATAATTTTTATGCTGAGTCTAGATTGTTTTGTGTTTATCAATGTCTTAGTATATCAAGCATAGAAGTTCTTTCTTGTGATGCATATTTTGAGTTCATGTCCAGTAAAACTGCTTTTGTCCTGGATCTAGTATTTTTTTGCAAATCTTTAGTGTTCTGGTATGCTTATGAACAAATCTTGTACACACTCTGTTTTTAATAATAATGTTATTAGCGGCATCAGCAAAAATGAAAGTTCAGCTTGTGATTTTAAGATTTTTCTCTTAATCCCTCCTATGTTGTTTTGACATTGGCATGATTATTTTGTTCCTGTGCTCACTATTTGCTAATCTTCTGAATTACATTCTCATACAAACAAAAAATCATTAGCCTATGAAAATTAGTTCTGTGTTATTGAAATACTTCTCTCATGGTATAAGTACAATAATTAAAACAAATGCAAAAAGTAAATGTTTTAATATCACCAGCACTTATATTGAAATATACTGTAGCTATATCTTATTGTGTTAGTTTTTCAGGGGGGTATTTGGGATTGTCAGATTGTATGATATAATGTGAAAAGTCAGTTGCTTAAAATTTTCAAGTTTCTGCAGTGGGATTTCTAAAATCAAAAGAATAAAAATGTTGTGGTTTTGACAGCAATTCTTTTAGACTTTTTCCCCGTATAATGCTATCGAAGAGAATAGTTAACAATAGCTTAATAGAGAATGGCGTTTGAGGATTGTTGAAGCAGTGATAAAATGTCAAGAATTCATGTTTTTGGAATACAAATTTGGGAGAGGATGGCTGCTGCATTTTCAGCAGTTTTCAGTAAAGAAATCAATTATAGCCTTCATTGATGAGTGGACTTCTGACAAAAGAAAAATTGAAATATTCTATGACTGCAAACTTCACTCTATTTAAATAGTTAATTTAGTAAGACCCTGCTAAATAAGTACTTCTAGTGGTTCTTGTAAGTAGGAGCATATGTTTTTGGCTCTTAAAAAAAGTCTTGACATCATTTGTGTGCATTCCTGGGTCACAAATAAGGCACCCTTATTTCTCTCAACCACTTTCTACCATAAAAAAAGGAATCTCATAAAATCATTTCATTCATATCATCTATTATATCATATAAAGGGCCACATTTAAAAATGTGGAGAATTTTTTTTTTTCCTGTTATTGTGACCTTGATGCAGGATAGGTATAACCGATGCACACGAATAGCTTTTCAAATAACCAAAAATTTAATGATTTAATCCATTTTTTAAGCACTAAACAAGACTAAAATTGCACAATAAATTAACACCTAATTTAAGCGCTACGGTTAAATTGAGACTTCCTATGGAAATAAGCTATTCATTTATAACTACAGTGAGGTGAGTTGCGACTTCTCATATTTGTTAGTTTAGTTTTTTTATATTGAGTTCATTTATGGCTCTTAAATAACACATTAAACAGAGTGAACAAAGCAAATAAAAGTATATTAATTTCCTTGCATAAGTTGTTAAGACCAAACATTTTTGAAGGGTGGTTCTGTTCCTTTCCCTTATGTGAGTTCCTTTCCCTTATCTTTGCATACTTATGTGAGTCATTTCTATTATAGGTAAACATGGCTGAAGATAATCGGAACATGTTGCAATTTTTGCAGTGCATTTTAGCTCCTTTTGTGGAAGCATATTTCTTAGTTGCATGCACCTTGCCTAAACTTTCTAATGTAGAAATGGAAGGTAATATTTTGTTATTTCTTATCCTATATTGTATGCTTTTAAATGGAAATGTTTACAATTTACTGAATAAAAGCATATTTTAAAAATAATAAAGTAAAATGCAATTTAAAATTGCTTCCTGTATTTAAAAATTTAATATCCCAGTCTCTTATTTTTCTGATTTTATAATATTCATTATGAATTTTACTTTGCAGAATCATTATTTTTACAAGAAGTAAAGAGCTTAGGACTAAAGAAGATTCAAATGGGACAAATATTCTATGGTAAGATTGTGCTTGTTTGATGTGGTCATGATTTTTAAAGGTTCTTCCATTTGTTATACTTTAAAATTTAATTTTAGTTTTGGTTACTTCATAATATTGTTATTGTATGTTGCAAAACCTTTTAGTGCTGTATGCAGCTATTTAATCAAATGCATGTTTTTTATTGCAGAAGAGTGCTTAGGTTTGGACACTCTGAAAAATGCTCTAAAACTCTTTGAAAGTTGGAAGATAATTTGTTGTAGAACACAAAACTCTCAAAAACTATATAGTTTGCAGCCTTATTATAATAATGCATTTAGGTTGAAAGATGTAATAAATAGGATAGAGAAATATAAAGATTAGAATAATTTTCTTATAAAATAATTGTTTCCATTGACACTTACGAAAGGAAGAATGTCTGTGTGTGTTTGTGAAATATATTAAACATATCTGTAATTTTATTGGAAATGATTCTACTCTTAAGCTCTCTGTTGGTTTAAATTTTTTATTGCTTTGAGAATTTTAGTACCATTGTAAAAGGTATATCATAAACAAGTGTGTGAACTGTGTTATTTTAAAAGAAACTTTTATAATTTGAGTTTGTTTTCAGCCTTTTATGTTTTATGTTTGTCATGATTAATGTGTACCCATGTAAAAACAATTTTCTTGTATCAAGAAAATATTTGAAAACTGTATTTCTCAGCATGTAAATGATATATTATTTATTTTTAATTATCTGACCTTGTTCAGAAGGGGCTTTTATAATTTTATTACAAAGAAGTCAAGTATTGCTGCACATATGGCATGCATAATATTATGTGACATTAAGTGTGCATTGTAAATCCCATTATGTCTTGCCCTAAAATTGGTGGTCTTTGATGGTAGTTATTGCATCCTTGTCTTTAAATATGAATGAATGTATGGCAGCTGTCGATATCAATAATTTTTCAGTGAAAAAACAATTGTAATTTTAAGAAAAGGAATAGTAAAGCAAAACTAAATCCTTTATATGTAATTAGGTTAAAATATGGTTATTATTTTGGGAACAATCTTTACCATGTTTTAATAATATCCAGTGTGTAACTTGGTATTTAACTATTTCATAAACAATACTGTTTTCAAAGTTGTAATATTTAAATTTTTTAAATTCAAATTTTGATATTTTTAATCTTTATAACTTTGATATTTATATATATAGAGAGAGAAATATATAGAGAGATAGATATGTATGTATGTATATAGAATGAATACTTTTGTACTTTTCGAAGACAGTTTTGTACACAACCCCCCAAAAGTTCATCCAATGTGATAAACTTTGTTGCTTTAAAGGAATGTGATCATCAGTTATTCTGAACTTGTAATTTATTCTCAGTAAATGAAGCCATTTTTTGAAAAGGCGCAATTTAAGTGTAACTTTGGTGCTACGATATCCTCGGTATCTGTTATTAGTATGGCCATTTACTTTTTTCTTTGAAAATGTGGCCAGTTAATTTATTAAAAGCTCTACAAACTGTAATCAATATTTTATGTCATAGAAAAATTTAATTTTGACTACTGCCATAAATTAGCATTTATTAATATAAGTGTGATATAATCACTTTCCCTTGTCACTTTAATTGTGCTTCTTGTTTTTTTATATTTTTCATGGGAAGTGACATTTTTTGAAATTATACATCAGCTATTTTTAGTTGTTTTTTTATGAAAATATGCTTGTTTTCCATTTCCTCTTGAAACATGTTAGTGTCAACAATTGTGAATTAATGTAACTTCTGTGCTAAATGTATGAGAGATTTTAAGCAACTGTCAGCAGATGAACTGTTCATGAATATCTGTTCGACTTAAGTGTTGCAGTAATACTCATTAAGTGCAGTATTGCACCGCAATATTTAAAAGTATGAAATGCAATGAATTCTTTGTAAGAAGGATGTTTAAGCAGGTAGAGTATGTCTGCCAACTTTTAGTCATCTTGCATAATCGTTTTTTTCCCTTATATGTTTTATGCTTTTGTAGATTATGTACTCTTATTTTATATCAGGATTTTTTTCCAGATTGTAAAAAAATGTTCCTTCATAATTTCATTTTTATGCGTTATAAATGTTTATTGGTTTATCATTGTGCATGAGATTTGAAATCTTTTAGTGAGTATTTTTAGCAATGTAGCAGCTCCTCAGAAAACATTGTTTATTTTTCTTACTCAAAATGTTTTTTTCTTAGTGTATTTGTCATTTTAAGTATTAAATCAAGAACTCCAATAATTGTCTGCACACAGATCATTGAAAAGTACTAAGTAGTTAAACTTGCGAATGCATCAGTTTAATTCTAAACAGATGTATACTTATGTAATTATTAAATGTTTTCTGCATTTCCTTGATAAGAATGTATATATTCTGTAAATGTGTATTTGAAAATATGTTATTATGGAAAGAAAACCTTTACATCCCGCTCTTCAATGCATGTGTAAAAATTTAAATGATAATTTTTCCCATGTTGGCAGCTATGGGGATATATATTATCAAAATGTGAACTGTTGAATGTATTATTCATCACATGAATATATATTAAAAGTATTGTATGAGAAAATATATTTTATTGCAAGTGTGTTTGTAGCATTTACTGCTGGGTTGCAGTCATTGTTCAGCAACTAGTATTTTATGTATGTGTGTGTTTTTTTTTTTTTCAGTTTTTCTTTATTCTAGTTATGTAAAGATGAGTTGTCATTCTTTCTCTTTCCATATTTAGAGTTAATTTTGTTCTTCGTAGATTGTTAAAACGTGATTAATTTCAGATTTTGGGAAAATTTGATGTATTCAAAACTTTCTTTGCTACATTTTTAAGAGAATTTAGTGTAGATTTTTTAATTGTTTATTCTGCATTCAAATCAGGAACATAGCTAAGAACTGTATTTTAATTTAATAGTGGGGGCATATCATAACTTTTCTAATGACGAGAGCGAAATCCCAAACTAGATCATTTGGTAGTGTATAAAATGCCAGTCATTCAAGTATCAGATGTCTGATCATTGTGCTAGTACACCAGATGAAAGTTTTTGTTGAACTTTTTTTTTTATTAATACCTTTCCATGGACTTTGGCTAGCTAGATGAAGCAAAATTTTACTAAATTTATGATGAAATAGTGAACCAGAAAGTAAAAAATAAAAGGATATAAATTTTTGATGACCCATATGTACTGAATAACATTTTTTAAGCTGAGAATGGTTAATTATAATTAAGCATAGCAGTCAAAACTATTTACCTAGAGGAAGGACTTTCAAATGGAGCATGCTTGATATTTCAATCACACTTACAAGCCAACTGATTCAGCTATTGGGAATTGAATCTGACACAAACTACCAGACTTTTTTATTCCCTTTCCTCCCACCCCCCTTGCTCACTACTGGGTACCTTTAAGTTAGCTGTAAAGAAGCTTAACTTAAAGCTGTGTATTTAAAGCATAGAACTCGGATTGTTAATTATAAGTAAAAAATTATGTAAGTAGCTTTTATCTGAAACACTGGTGGATTTGTATGTAGCAGTTAGTAATATTAATGAATTGATGTTTTTAAAATTTCCATTTCTTTCAAAATTCAGAAATATCTGTAGTTAAAAATATTTTATTTATAGTTTTACTCAAAGATAAGCGCTTATGGCTCATGAAAGACTTTTTAAATCAATATTTAATTTCCTTTGATTATATATCCAAATATGTGTGTGTTTAAATGCAATTTTCATCAATAAAAATGTGCAAGTGGTAAATTTAACACATTCATATTTTTTGTAAATATTTATACCTGCTTTATAAATAAAACATACTCAGAGTTTTAAATTCATGGATGTACTGTCTTTTTACCTCAAAGTCTAAGGTTGTTGTCCAAGTATGATTTGAATATGCTGTGTGGTACAGATATTCACTTACTTTATTAATAAAATGCACTTTAAAAAAGTTGAGCAAGCTATTTTTGGGAATTATGTTCCTTATTCTTGCAAGAGCATTGAATAATCTAGTAAAAATGGGGAACATTTTTTCTCTTTGTAGCTATAAGAAGATTAATATACTTTAAAAGATTTTTCAAATCTCTACAAATTGCAGAGGTAAATTTTTTCAGGTGTATCAAATACACCATGCAATACTTTTATGTAAGTTGAAGCTTAATCAACCACATTTGTTTGATGACTCATCAGTCTTAAACTTTTTCTTAAATTTATGAAAAACCTATGTCAGAACAGTTTGTTAGGGAGATATCTGTGTATACGAGAGATGCTTTCTCAAAGGAAACTGGTTCGTGTTTTCATTGCACATAGAGACTAAAGGCCAAAATGTTCCATCTTAATAAAAATATATTGTTTAGTTTTTAATTTAGAGGTATAAGCATTTTTCTGATAGTGCTATTGTACAAAAAAACATTGAAATGCTTTAGTGGTCGAGTTTTATCCCTCCTCCTCCATGCAGTGTGGAATAGAATAATAATGGTGATCACTTAGCTAGATAATGACAAGTTTACCTTTGCATATCAGGTAGCATGCTGAGTTGATTTAAAATTAGTTAAAGTTCCTTTACAGTTAGCTTCTTAATCTTTGGTCTAGTTTTAACACTGAAGAGTATTAAAAAGGAACTTGTTTTGTAATCCTCAAACATCTTGGAATGAAACAACCCCATTTTGCCATCAGGCTGCTTTAAATACAATCCGCCCCCCTCAAAGCTTGGTGTCTTTTTTCCCCCTTTTATCAAAATGGATAAAATCTCAAGAAAAGGTGTACCTTATGGTTTAGGAAGTTTCAAGACAGTGGATGCATGTGTTAAAATTCTTGGACATGTAAATGTGTGTAAATCCTGAGCAACCACTGGTTCTAGAGTATTCTCAGCAGAGCTCATGGAAGTCTGCAACACATGCCTAGCCGTGAGTTAATGGTAATTCACACAAATATATAGAGAGGTCAGGTCATAACATTTACATTCAAGTTCCGTACTAATTAAAGTACATTACTAATATATAGAGAGCAAGAAATAAAACTTTATAAGTAGAATACTTCTGGCCTGGTTGAAAGAAATTCTTTTCTTTAGCAAAATATAGCTTCACGAAATCATTTCATTCATTTTGAATAAAGTTGTAAATCAGAGAATCTGAATGAGGATATGTTTTTTTCTTCTGAGAAGGGTCAAGATTGCATTTGCGAAAAAGAAAGAAATGCTATTTATTAAAAATTTATGCTATGTTTACTAAAGCTAATTAATAAAATAAAGTAACTTTTGTTATAGAACTTCTGGCAATATGTCACGAATATCGATGATGGCGTAGTGTTTATTCAATACATTAGCTCCTTTTATGTTACTTCTTTTATCAGTCTTATTGAGTTTTAAACAAGTATATTGCCATAGCTTAATTTAAAAAAAAATATATTGGTAATTTAGACTCGTGTAAAGCGAGAAATAATATTCCCGCATTTCACTCTCAGGTATGGTGATTATTGTGCATAACAAATTCATGTTAACGAGGTTTCCCTGTAATCAGATACCTAATATGCTAAATGTATAATTTGAACAATAATCAGATTTTAGTTTTGCATTATCAGAAAATCATGCAAAAGATACTTCAGGAGATATTACCAGATTGAAAAAAACAACACAGTAATAATAGATACTAAATGTCTGAAAAATATTTGGAAGTATTTTATTGCCATGATACAGATATATGAGAGAGGAAATACAGTTTCTAGTATGGTGTAAAATCCTCTCGAATGTTCATGCATGTTTTGCATTGTGTGCCTCTACTTTGAGAGGGGTTGTTGATTCAATTCGTACAATAGTGCATTCCTCTGTTAGTGTCATTTTCAGTAGTTGGCGGTTCATGTAGACAGCACCTCCAAGCCTAGGTGACATAGGCAGTGACTAAATGTCAATTTTGGAAGAGGGCCAATTAGGTTACTCTGATAAGCAAATAAATAAATGTGTATTTTTCTTTGAATTGTTATCACCTTTTGTTTACCTAAAACGCCAGCTATACTGATTAGTTACACTAGATCAGTGTGTACATGGAGAAAGAGGCAGGCCTAAATACTACTTATTTTTTAAGTGCTCCCTTACAGCTGACATCTTCTAAAACTTCCGAACTCAGAAAATGAAGTAAATCCTTTTTAGAAGTTATGCTATCAACAACAAACATCTCAGAAAGGAAACTATAAACATAATAAACTTCCTTTCCAAAAGAAGCACGGAGCTATACAGCACAGCATATAAGGCAGTAACGTCTGGTGGGGTCCTGTGAAGAGTTGTTGTCTGGATAATTATTGTAGCTGGGCAATATGCAAAATGACTATGGTTAAACAATGGGTGTCCACCACACTTCATCACATCCATACCCATAACTGTACCGATCGCCTAGGGCGCCGAAAATGCTGGAGCCACAATGGTTTTAGTCATGTCACTAGGCATCTGCCTAGATATGTCTATTTGGATTTGGATACAGGAAATGAGTAAGCCAACCCATTCAAACAATAGTCACAGTATGATAGAATGTCACATTATGGACCACAGAAATGAAATTTGTGCTAGTGGCTGTTTGGCACAGGAGCACATGAATATTTTGGTTTAGTAGCGGGCACTGATTACAGTTACCGGATTCCAATATATGCAGTTTTGTATTGTTTTCCCAATTGAGAACACTTCGAGTGCCATATCGACCTCTTTTTTTCAATGATGTTTTTAGGGTGATGCAGACCGGTTTCTGAAGAGTATGCAGCGAATTGCTCCATATGCAGACAGCAAAATTTAAGGATGCCAAATTCAATCGCAATCCTATAAAGTGGATGTTACCTGTACAAGTACATATATATTATATTATCCAATGATTTTTTTGTTCAAAGGCAACAATAAATTATTAAATTATGTATTTTAAATATTATAGGTGAGCACAAAATACCTGTCTGCAGGCGTTCAGTCCTCCAGGAACGGTCCTGGGATGACGACATGCATTGTGCTCATTCCAGGCTATTTGATTTCTAGAATTTCTGCTGAGGTTTAATATACAATGGTACCTCATCATATGAGTTTACAATTCGTTCCCTGATCGAGCTCGTAAGCCGATCTGCCGGTATCCCGAAATAATTTTGGTCAATGAAATACATTTAAATATTTTCTTTTCAGATCAAATTAATTTTTTTGCTGTTATTATTTATTTTTAAATGAGAAAAAATACACTATATTGTCTATACAGTGTATTTTTTCTATGTCTGTGTCAACTAATACACTGTATTGTCTACAGTTGTTTATACAAATAGACAACTAGTAAAACTTTTATAAAACATAATTCAAACATAAAAGAGGACCAAAGAGAAATAAACTTGCTTTATAATGCTTAATTACTGTTACTACCTACATAAAACCATACCTTCATTATTGGTTACTGGTTTTTGCTTCCTTTTCCTCCACTGTTTCCCCGCTTTCATGTAAAGTGGGTTTTAAGTTTTCTAAGGCAGTTTGCTTCATTCTTCCAGTAAAGATTGTTGTTGAAAAGATTGGCCCCTGTACCCCATCACCTCATAGTTATTAACATCCTCAATAGCCTTTATATGCTCATTGATCTGTAGTTCAAGTCAATGTGTTGTAAATTAATTAAGCATTTGGATAAATATCTTTTGCAACTCCCTTCTAATAAGCCTAGCAGCTTCTAGTAACCCTAGCAACGCCAAGGCGTACGCTAACCACGTCCAAAAATGATATCCCATAATCCTCTTGTTCTTCACTTTTTATTATCTTTAGTGTAGCTGTCGCTTCTAATTATTTTAATTAGAACCGAATAAACGTGATTTAAACATGAATATGCTCATATATTATTAATGGATAAACGTTAAAACATCCCTCAGAACAAGTTTTGTTTTGGAGATGTAACCAGCGCTGCTGGACACATGAATAAAAGGTAAGCAAAGTTTGCTGTCTTTATTCTTTATAAAGTTCATTCAACAAAAAGTTAATTTAAAATTAAAAGTCATTTAAATTCAATTCATGAGCGCTCCAATTTGGACACAAAAATCTCCAATCTGGACACATGAATAAAAGGTAAGCAAAGTTTGCTATCTTTATTCTTCATAAAGTTCATTCAACAAAAAGTCAATTAAAAATTAAAAGTCATTTAAAGCGAATTCACGAGCGCACCAGTTTGAGCAGCAAATTATATCTTCTCAGAAAATTATATTCAATAAAAATGGCTGAATACGGTGATATGATCGCACAGATCACTCATATGATGGACTTAGTCGAAAGACTGAAAGTTATCGGTGAGAATATCCCAGATCAGCACGTAACCGCACTTTTGTTAGTTTCAATTTCCGAATCATACAGTAATCTTACAACTGCCACTGAAGCTAGAGAGGAAACTCTTATAACTACAGATCTGGTAGAAAAGAAACTGGCTGACGAATACAACAGAGGACAAGAACAACAAGCAGATCGAAGTTCTAATTTTTCAACGGCGTTTAAATCTGCAATAAATGCAAGAAATTATGATAATAATAGACAAAACAAATTTGTTACCTTTTGTAAACGTAGTGGCCATACTCGTGAACGTTGTTTTAAATTACAAAACAAAAATAACAATTCTTGTTCTGACAACTCAAAATCAGAAACTCGCGCAACCGAACATGTCTGAAAATCGAACCGACATTGTATGAGCGCAGACACTTCCGTTGAAAGAAGCTGTGAATCCAGCGACAGGCGTCCATCGGCGCCAGTCCAAAGTACTGTTTACGAAAAGGGTTTAATAATTATTCAACGTTATTGCTCAGAACAAAATATAAATAAAAGCATTTTGTACGTTGATTCTGGTGCGAGCAGTCA